CTGCTCACTTACTCACCCCGCTCACTCTCCACCACAGACTCAACCCAGACAGAGCCTTGCTAACCACAGTGCATGGACATATACCACTATCAAATCATACTCACTGGTATCAAAATAGCCCTCTGGGATCAGATCTCTTTTGCAACCCTCACTCGCTGAAGTGAGCAGTGCAGAACGGGCACCCAAACAACATCTCTACTGGCAAGTTCAGCTATCAGGAGGAGAACAGCACCAATACCGAACTCCAGATAGGGACATGGATCACTTAGGTTGGAAAAGACCTTTAACATCACCATGCCCAACCACAGCCTAATTTACTTCAGCCTTCTGTTATCTTGGAGATGCACACTGTCAATACTGCCTTGAGGCATTTACTTACATGGAAGTTTTGCATAGGTTTTACATAGGTTCCATGTGTATGAGGAAAAGAAGTGCGCTGGATCTGACTTTAAGTCCTATAGAGTTCTACAAAAACAAAACCAAGCAAAAAAACCTATCAACCACATATAGCAAAATACCAAAGATAACAGGTTGCTTTACAAATACATGCAAATTAAGTTCTTAATGTGTCAAATATACAGCTTGCAGCGTGTGGTAGCAAGATCTGGGGCAAGCTTCAATAGATACGCATACATCACATCATCACATCAATTACTGTGCTGTTAAATGCTTTGAAGCTGAAGTTATCCAATACACCTCTTGAAGTATAAGCCCTAGTTGCTAAAAAAAACCTCCTCCCAACTCACAGTACGATAAGACCTGCATTTGTTCTTAACATAGACTGTGGTGTTCAGCTTATAAAAAGTTTCACAAAACAGGTCAGCTAGCTGAGTATGCCCAAGATCTGAGCAGTATGTGCAGGAAGGTATGCTAAAGCTAAGCTAAGTATAATAAAAAAGCTCTCAAAGTAGTAATTTTGTATGGATGTTTCTTAATTCAGCCTCCTGAATCCCAGCTACAGCACGTTCAACTAGAATTGCAAATACAGGCTTGGGTGAACAAACACGCTTTGGTAAACAAATGCTTTGGCACACAATGTTATGTAGGTGGGATCTATCCAGAATGTCAAGAATTCTTCCCCAAATCATAGAGATGAGCAAGAACACAACCACTATATTTGCCTTTTCAAGCTATTTACTGGTTGTTCATCTGTCCAAGTATTCTATTCAAATGAAATTTTAAAAGGGTGGGTGGGTGGGTGGTGTATTTTTTTCCTATTTGCTTTTCCACCCTCTTCACCACAGTCAGTATCTTCATTAGTTGGCAAGAGATGGGGAAGGTTCACTATGAGTCTCTGTTCTCCAGCTGCTCTCAGTTCCTGCTCTATTAAGCCTTAAGAAATAAGCACACAGACAGGAGAGTTCAGAAGCTTTACCCTGATGGGAGGAAGGAAGGATCACTGGTCTTCTCGTTTGACAGCTGTTCTCCTATTTTCATTTGCTCACAGCCCTTTTCCAAAATAGCAGCACTTTAAAGGCAACCTAAGATTTGCAGAATAGATCAGATTTGGATTTACTATTCTATTAGTATCTCCAACAAATCGTTTAGGTCAAAAGATGCACGCGCTCTGCTATAGCACTGATCCATGCCAATTCTATCTTCCCTCCCTCAGTAGAAAACTGATAGCAACAATTTAAAAGCCCCTCTACCAAATCCCATCCAAAAAAGAGAGAGATCAAAGGAAAATTTTGCAGAAGTTTATTATTTTCTTTCCCTACTTTGTTTACATGTTTATCTAGCCATTTCCTCATGTTTGCCCAATGCCCAGCCTATTACCCATCCATAGAGAATATATATTTCCACCTACTAACTACAGAGTCTGTTTTTTGTTTGTTTGTTTGTTTGTTCTCCAAGCATTCCCTTCTTCAGTCCTCAGAGTTTCGGATCAATGTTTTATGTATTTACACGAGTCTGAACTTTAAGTGATAGATTTATATGGAGATGCATATGTCCTGTCCTCTTATACCAGGTAAAACCAATCCAATATAAGATGATGTCCAAGAACAAATTAGGGCAGAAGACAGATTATCAACTTTTGGTACCTACTTAAGTGATCTGTCTTTCCTCTCTTAAGAAATAACATGGCAATCTAGCAGAACCACTTAAATATATATTGCACATCCTGAGAAAAACTAGACCTGAGTATGAAACACAACTAAAAGTTATGTAAATCCCCCCTAATCTCGATGTTAACTCAAGACTACTATTTCATAATCAAGTTTTTATAGGGCAAATGTCAGTATTTAATCTTTCAGGTCAGCAGTTTTTTGGACATTAGCTATTATGGTGTTATGGTGTTTCAAGTCTTTGAAAGGGTTGATAACAGCAGGACAAGGGGAAATGGTTTTAAGTTGAGGGAGAAAAGATTAAGGTTGGGTATCAGAGAAGTTCTTTACAGAGAGAGTGGTGAGGTGCTGGAACAGGCTGCCCAGAGAGGTTGTGGATGCCCCGTCCCTGGAGGTGTTCAAGGCCAGGTTGGATGGGGCCCAGGGCAGCCTGGTCTGGTATTGAATGTGGAGGTTGGTGGCCCTGCCTGTGGCAGGGGGGTTGGAGCTTCATGATCCTTGAGGTCCCTTCCAACCCTGGCCAATCTGTGATTCTGTGGGTGGTAAAGAACAAAGGCAACAAGGAAAGGTCACTGCATGGAACACGAATACTAAGTAGGAGAATTTTACCTGCTGACACTTTCCTACAGTTATTTTAAAGGGACAATAAGAAGTAAATTACCTAAAATGCATTGTGTTTTCCTGCAGTCATCATTCAAAACAGTCAGATGTTTTGCAGGAAGGTGTTCCTGCACACAAATCTAAACAACTCCATTTTCCTTCTGTAAGACATGAGAACACGTCCTGCTCCAAATACAACGTTCTCCAACAGCGCTGCGCAAATTAAAGCAATTTTTGTAGACGACAGAACAATTTCAAGCTTGCGTAAGAACACAAAAGAACAAAATGCCCAACTTTTGTAATTACCTGGCAATCTTACTTTGTGTCAACCTGATTCATTACATGTTTTCATAAATCTTCCAATTAAGCACAGGAACAATTTTGTTCTAGAAGCAAGATAAATAATTTTTAAAAGCCATGAGAACTAAAGATGTTGTACATCTCAGGAACTGAAGCATTCAGTAAATGTATTGCTACTGCATTTAGAGTAAAATACGGGAATTGTTCACCTGCACAATGTTCAACTGCCAAAAGTCAATCTCCATTGGGATGAAATGGCAGCGTTGGTGGGGACGGCTCAACTGGAATATATACCAAGCAAAGCTAACAGGAGTGGTGTTAGAGAAGGGTGCAAACGACTGTCACTCTTGATTTAACTGATGAAAATTAATTTCAGTTTGAAGCAGGTACCATGTCAGTGCTCAAACATCTATCTGTCACACACTAGCTCCACTTCCACTCAAGTTTGGGATGAGTCACTAGCAGATTACTACACCAAATTGCTTCTGATTCAAATGTACCTTTCATTTATATAAAGTGCACCAAACAACAGCCCTTCAAAATACCTACTTCAGAAATACTGTCTCCTCGTTCACCCTTACATATCCTTACACTTGAATCAGCTGAAATACATTTGAATAACCCGTGAAACCATGATGCAATTTCCTTCCTAAATCTTTCCTGTTCCCAGTCTGCCATGTGCCCCTTACCACACCTCCTCCTAGCCACGTGCTCTGTATTACCCTTTGGGAAGAAAAACAGATCTCCACTGAAATAAAGTCCAGGTAATCATGGATATTTCCATCTCTTCACCCATCTGCATCCACTACTGATGCTATTGATTTGGATGTGTCTTTAATGTCATAAAACACAGCACTGTCAGTTTTTCACTCTTAGAAGAATAATGTCTAATTTTGAGAAGAGAAATGCTTTACGGAAAAAAACCAGCTAATTCCTTAAAAGTCAGAGCAAGCAAGATGGCTGTTTGTACTGCTGATTCCTGGCTCCTGTGTTTCCACACTATGTAACTGCTCAATAAAGCTTTTCATGCACATTTTGTTGCATTCATTGTGAACTTGCGTTGTTAAACTAGGTATCGGATTTTAAAATCTTGTTTATGTGAAGGATGTCTCAAATCACATAAGCTGGAATAATGTAGCACTTTTATTGGATCATGGACTGGTAGCAGAATTTCTATCAACTAACAGAAGGACTAGAAGCTGAGGGAGACAAAAAGAGAACACACAGAGCATCAAGCTAATACCAAGGGGAAAGAAATTTTGGACATTTCACAGAAATACAGAGTTGAAAGCATTAACATGATGATCATGGTAGACAGGTACAAGTTAGACCTGTGTGGATGCTAGAATTTTTGGAGTATGAAAACATGGACATGTGAAAATTAGTTATTGAATTTACATGGGATTATATTTTCATTTTATTGTGTGTCTAGGAAAGATGAGAGCACAGCCTGGGGCTTCCTGTAGTGTCAGGGGGAGCAGACATGGAAACACGCAGAGCTCCCACTCCTTTACTATATAAATCTCCATGTATTTTCCACAGTGTTGCTTTGCAGGAAAAAAAAAATATATATATGCACACATACACCAGGCTGGGTCTGGATTTACTAAGAGAACAAGAAGTTATTTCAGAGAATACTTGTTGGTATCTTCTGAACAAATAAACCACAGGATTTGTATTTACATTTTAGAAGCAAGTTTTCAAATTCTGTTACATAATCTGCCCAGAGCTGAAAAGTTAAGCAGTCAGTTTACTGAAGAGCCTTAAAAAGAAAAGACATCTGATGCTGGTTTGTGGTTAGTTCTGTAGCATGCTAGCATAGAATATACCACAGATTTGCAAGGAAGTCAGAATATAGAATAAAATCCCAGATATTGGCTATGGAGAGTAAATAATAAATCCAGCTCTGGATCCTGATAAATAGACTAAGCAGCATTTTCTTTGCCTGTAGAACCATTTTCTTGGCCAAGCTTGTTCAGATTCCAATGAACAATAAAATTAAGAGCTACTACAATGGAAACCAAGGGGATAGCATTAAAAATGTACCTGCAACACACACTAAAAGATTCAGCCAAAGCACATGAGAAGGTTTTCCAGTAGAACGAGGAAAAGACCTTGTGTCTTTCTAATCCCATGAGATCTTAGTCATTATGCCACAGCGGAGTAAGATTATTTGCTAAAGGCTGCCTTTTTATTGAGCTAGGAAAAGAAAATCCCAACCGGTCCATTTCAAACAAAGAACTGCATGTCCTACTTTCTTCTGAAAGCACCCCAGCCCAGCACTGATAGCCCATTTGGGTAGAGCTGAGCAACAGCTCAACGGTCAGCTCACATACAGATTCTGGAGAGCCCACTCGCCCACCACCGCCAGTGGTACTGCAGCTCCTCATGAGTGTTTAGAGGTGTGCATCAGAATGCTTAGGGGATTCATGTGCTAAAGCTTTTAAATCTCCAGTTAGGTGTACGATGTGAAGGGGTGCAAAAAATTTCCAAATCTCTGTCTTATTTGGCTGGAGATGTTAATAGAAGCGGATCCCTCTCACACTGCAGCTGTGACTTGTCTCACCAGAGAGGAAGAAATGCCAGAGTACACTTCTTTAGGAAAGAAGTCAACTTCATTATCTCCTACAACACATCAGCACAACGTGGGTGTCACGCAGTGGCTGCCCATAACAAAGACAACCACACAAATTTATACCTACGTATTTCAGTTCACGCCCTTTTAATCATGCTCAATGGACTACCTAAGAACCCCTTAAATTTTCAAAGTCTCTTCATTCCAAGCTCTTAGGACTCAGGTCAGATGCACTCCCTGATGCTAATGGTTCAATTCAAAGGCTGCCTGGATTGACTCCCCTTAGTGGGGTGGGAATATTCATGCTGGCCTTTTTCACTCACTGGCTTTCCATAAAGTCAGCAGTAAGCTCCTACTATCACTGCTCTCACTGAGGGTGGACGATTGAAGCATTGTGTCTCTTTCTGAATGCAGTACTGCATTCCCTTCTGAAAACAGCAGTGGAAAGCACTTAAACTCCTAAGCCAAACAAGTCATAGAACTGTTGACTCCAAGGATGTGGTTTCATTAAAAATTCTGCCTACCATTCTGGGAAGAAGCAGTAGACCTAAATCTTGTGCCTAAATCCATGGTTTGAGGAGCTTAGATGCAGCATCCCTGCTTGGTGGGACAATCAGTGTGCAGAAGGCAATCTGACCCCACCAAGGATGGGTGTGGATTGCTGGCTAGAGTTGCGGACACACAGTAACAGTCCTTCTGAAAGCACACACACTCTTTATTCCATTTTCGAAGTGATGTTTCTCACTTCAGTAAATCCACTGCTATTGAAGAATAGTGATGGGCAGCATGGGACTATGGCCTGTAGGGTCTGAAGCACTGCAGGAACCAGCTACTTATGTAAGTAGGGCTATTCAGTTTGAACAGTGATGTGGCTTTTTTAGAGGGTCTGGCAGCACCAGCTACCTGGGATATCAAATTGAGCAATCAAACATTTAACAAGCTGAAAACAGAACGGAAAAGGCTACAGTGGGAATCTAATAACATGTGATTATATTTGTGTGGTATCAGGGACAAAGGCCTTGGAACTGGTGTGAAGCTCTCTTGTGCTTTAGACTGAGACTTCTTTATTTCAAAATTAACCATTTTTTAAATTAAAAAAAATGCAGGAAATGCAGAGAGCAGCAGATCTTTAGATTTGCTTCTAGGCAAATGGAGATCAACCAGTTCAGAAGATAAACTGACTAGAAGTCATGAAATGGAAGGCAAGCAAGGGAGCTCATAAATATAATGAAGACAAACTTAGCTTGTTAACTAAGTTGTCTAAGTTAACACACTTAGAGTACAACTCGCAAAAGAAAGTATTAAAAGAGAGAAAAAAGCAGCAGTTTCCTCAAAGGAACAATAGAACAGGACAATCTGACCTTGTGCCCTATAAAAACAAGCAAAAGAAGTTGTAGTAAGAGGGCTCTTTGTCTAGGTCTTGTATTTGGGGATCTCTGAGGGCTCAGGGCAGACGCAGGATGTGGAAACCTGGTCAAATTGCTAGCAGCAAGTGTTAAATTTGCATGAGCACATAACTACAAAAAATCAGCAGTTATGACAAAGTTACAATGCAAACTGGAAAGAAAAAAAAAAAGTAGCAATAAATAATCCTTATTGTCCATATATTTTTACCTTAAGATCAAGAGAAACCTTGCAGCCTTTTATCTCAAAGGAATGTGTGCACATGTATGTGTACAATGGAGAAAACAAACAGTAAACAAAACAACAGCAAACAGGTAAGAATATTAGGGAAATTAGAGATTCACAAATTGGCCGGCCTGATGAATTTCCTTGCAGGATGTAGCTCGGTCACAGGTCATTCATGAAGGGTAAGTAATGTAATATATCAAAAAACTGGAAAAGGGCAAACATATCACCCATCTTTGTTAGAATGAAATTACAGGACCAATAAGTCAGTTTAACGTCAAATTCCCAGGAAAAAGAAAAAAATCCAGAACAAATGAATTAGCAGCACCTTAAGCTTAACGAACAGCCAAAAGAGATTTTCTAAATCACGCAGCTAACTGCCTTTGACAGGCCTTCCGGATAGGTAGAAGAGAAAGCACAGATGTCACATCTTTCCTTTGAGTAAGGTTTCAAAACTGCCTCGAGGTATTTTAACAATCAAACTACAGATGCAGGGAGAATTAATCGTTTAGGATGTGAGAAACAAAGGTTAAATATACAAATGTCAGGATACAGTAGTAATTTGAAAGGACAGAGTGAAATGTCACCTACAAGATACTTCCCTGAGGCAGGAAACATCAAATAAGGCAAGATGAGAAGCAATACAGCTGTAGGCTACAGTGGATCACAGGAGACAAACACCAAGTTGTTCTAAGAAAGGCAAATATTGTTAAAAGATACCAAAAAAAGTGTTGGGAGTGCAATGCCAGAGCATTAGCAACTGAATTTAAAAATACCTTTCTCCCTACCTATCTCTGTTCCTATCTGAATACCTAGGAGAGCTGTGGACCACCAGAAAGGGTCTAGGGAACAGCAGTGAGAATGCAAAGCAGTCTAAAAATAGGAGCTAGGGCTGAGGTGGGATCCTGGACAAGCTGGTTGTTAGGACAGGGGAAAACCACACAGAGGATGGCTGCTATTTTAGAGTACTGCTACAAGAAGGTCATAGTCTCTTCCTCAGTCAAGCATGGATAGGACCAGTCCTGATGAGTTTAAAATGAGCACAGTAAAGGTTCAGGTTAGACACTGGAGGAGGGAGGCAAGAACATTACAAACAAAAACAGAAAACCAAATCTACCACAACAAGCAAGCAAGGAAGGGTAGCGAGGCACTGGAAGAGATTCCACAAGACCTTTAAAAACTGCTGAAACAAACACTTAATAAAAGACAGTTTTTTTCCTTTGGGGCACAGACATTTTAGATGGTCTCTTGAGACTTCAAAAGTACAGCTGGAAGCAATGTTCTATGAAGCATGGAGGTTTGCCCTACGCCAAACTGTGAGTGTTGGGACCAGCAGCAGCATCTGTGCAGCACAGAGAGCAAAGCAGGAAAGATCAACTATTGCATTCCAGAACAGCACAACTTCTCTCTGCCACCAGGTAGGTGTACGTTCCCTGCAGCAACACGCATGCCAGAGGGACACCATCAACAGCTCAGGCACCGGGCACTGATTCAAGACTGCATACTGACCACTGACACCTAATGTGACATATGCATGTCTTCGGCAGGTGTGCGTCCAAACTGCGGCAAACAATCACAGAACTGCTTTCTCACCCCACCCCCCCAAAAAATAAATGAAACCCCATGTCTTGGGGCTTTCTGACTTGTATAAAGTTGCACGAATAAAGCAAAAAAGCAAAAGGCAAAGCAGCCAAGCCATCAATCTCTTCCAGCTCCCAAGTTATAAAGCAGTCCCCATGACAAACCATGTTCCAGTTTCTCATTGCCAGTTCCTAATTTCTTGTTAACATGATGCAACTTCTCTTTTTTTTCTTTCCCCCTAAGGGTAAAATTGTGCATATGTCTGAGAGCATGCAACTGCCATTGAAAAGCAGCTCTATATTCAGAGGCATAAGGCCAGCCTCTGTGCCTTACGAAGCAGTCCCTCTGTAGCAAAGGGGCTGCCAGTGCACCCGTGGAAATATTCAGCGTGTACAGATTCCTTATCAAAGACTGGTTGGTTTCTTAACCTCTGCCCTTCACATACAGCATGACTGCCTGTATAATTATCAGAACTTTGACTGAGTGGTTGATGACAGTGTTTCTTTCAGGTCATTTCACGTCATTTCAAGTGATGCCCCTACATGAAATATCAAACTGATTTTTTGCACGTGTTGACAAGTTCACTCTCTTATTTCTGAGTAAAACCCTGCAAGTGCTATGCCATTCCTTCTTCCACCTCTATTTCAGTTCTTCAGAAACACACACACATGAAATATGGGAAAAAAACAACTCCAATGTCAACAATTACAATGTTTATACAGAAATTCTAGATACTTTTGAATACTTGACAGAAGCTACAGAATTCTGGTTTCATTCCCAGATAATTAAACAGGAAGAAGGGCTGAGGGCATCAGACATGAGAATATCTTAAGTGAGGATCCCAGCCAGCACATGTTGCAGAGCTACACTTGCAAGACAGGCATCAATTACACATTCTGGTGAAGTACTCTACAAGTGCAGCATTTTAAGGCTGTTCATGAGTTTCTAATAGCCTCTGTCAATTCAAATAAAATGTGTTCAAACACTCAGATGCCATAACCAAAACCAAGTGGATCATAAATCTGAAGGTCTTCTGAATTGGTGAGACTAAGTCAAGCTTCTACTTTTTACGTTGTCTTGGATGTGTAAATCAAAATCCAGGCAGCAAAACTTACTTTTAATTGGTGTGGGTGGTAGATGAGCTCGCTCCTTTTCAGTCTGTCTTCTGTTTTTAATTGGGTAGAAAACTATTGTAAATATTTTCTTCTTTCACACTGCTCCTTCCCAAGCTTTTCTGTAAACAAGTGAGGTATTGTTTAGCTGCTATACACTACATCCCACACACCCCAAACCAAAACAGAGAAAAAGTACACATTCAAATAGCTACAGATCACTTGGGATTCTAAGGGTTTTTTTAAAGCACCCCATAGAGCGACTTGCATACTTCCACATAAACTGGTTAGTGCAAGATATAGTATCTTTTTACCTTTGCTTTTCATTATCAGCTTAAGAAGAGAAGAGCAGACTTGGAAACTTCAGCAAATGAACCTAAAAAGATTCGCTTAGCAGCCTCTAAGTCTGGTCAACAGCTCTGTGCTGTTCAAGGCACAAGTACAAGTGCATCACTGTTCTCTCATTTAAATGTGGAATAATTCTAGGATTCACGGCAATGCCAGCTTAAACTTAGCTCTAAAGAAACCCTTTGTTTTCAAACAAATCGGTGCTTCGTTTTAGATAATTCTATAAAGAATCCTATTCATCCACCACGTAACTTATTCGTTAACATGAAAAGAGCACCAAGAAGGCAGTCGACCTCCAAAAAATTCTGAAGAAAAGTGAAGTAAAAGCAAATCTATTTAGCGCATGCCTTTGGAGTTACATGTAATATGTGTGTACACATGCACAAGATATAAAACATCATCAGAAGCAGCACCATTTGTTCTCAGTACAAACACTTTATACTAAGAGGTTTGACAATTTATGAGCACATCAGGCACGCTCTCCTGACAGAGCCATGTAATTGCTCATTTTCTCTGTCACTGATCCAAGTATCACATGATTTTTCAAGGGATGCTACTAAGGGTCAGCTCTGTGGTCTCCTTGTAGAGAAACCCCATATGTTTCCAATAAGGGCTCTGAACACAGAAGGATAGAAAAGAGTTGTTAGACCCAGGGATTCCAAGGCAAACAGAAAACATTTAAAATACAATCAAGGCACACTGCTACTACTTTGTGGCAAGGAAGCACAGGTCCTTGCTGTGCTTCTCTTCGGGCACTGGACGGCCTGGGTGTTTTTGCCTGGTAGCTCTTATTTCTGAGCTACTCTGAAACTTCTCCATTTAGAAGCTTTCAGTACCTATCCAAACATCTAGACTTAATGCATCTTCCTTTTGCAAGGTATGGTTAAAGCCCATCTAAAAGCCTTTTTTTTTTTTTTAAATTACCTCAAATTCCTATTCTATATTCCTTCAAATTTTAAAGCAAAACACATAAACTGGAAATTCCAGAGCACTTAAGTCAAGTACTTATTTTCTGAATGCTCAAGTCCTTTATTTATCGAACTTAGTATGAAACATTTAAGGGCATGACAGTGATCCCAGTTCATAAGAACCTAACACTAAGGTGCCACTAAAAAAGTCTCAACTATGACTATCGTGGTCTAAATACACAGTCGTCCTCTTACACTACTGCAGCCTCTGTACATCAGCATTTAAACATGTATGTGCAACATTCCTGCACTTAAGCAGAAACTATACAGGGAATGGAAGATCAAGGATGGTCAATGGCTGCAGCGCCTGCCGTAGGGGTTTTAACCTCAGACTTCATGGGATCCAATGGCAGCCTCTGCTGGAGAATGTTACCAAGAAGTCAGGCTTTTTGCTGTGGGGTCTGTTTCTGGAGGTTTTCAAAATCCAGCCAGCCAGGAACCCCGCGAAAATCCAGCCAAAATCCAGCCAGGAACCCCGAGCCAGTTGCCTGAACTCGGTGCTGACTCTGTTTTCAGTAGGTAGTTGCACTTGACACGTCCCAGGGTTCCTTCTGACCCAAGTAACTGCATGATCTAACACACGTAGCCCTAAGTAGCACTTCCCCTTCAGCACATCTTCCTGTTGGAATTCAGAAATGTCGCTCTAGCACAACAGCTCACAGCAAAGCTCCCAAGTCTCCCAAACACAGCTTCTCATTCAAATTATCATTTCAGCCGATGTTCACAATGCCAAGCTGCCAAGCTGGAAAGGTAGCTTCATGAAAATAAGAACTGTGCCCAACTGGTGTCTTGTTTTAGCAGAAAACAGAGAAGGTACAACACCTAAAATGCTGGCACACAGTTTGCTTAGATTTAGATAACAGATTTTGCATCCTACATAATATAGATAAATACTTGCAAGTTACTTCAATTCTACAGTAGATCGGTGCTGAGATATGAGGTGTAACAGTCATATTTGCAAGGACACTACAAATCCATTCTGATGTACCTACAGTGTTACCAACACTGAATCCAGAACCAAAGGCAAAGCATTCCTTAGTCTGAAGCCTGTTATAAAGTATTTTGCATTTAAAAACACCGTGAAGCAGTTATGCATCCTCGGTTTTTCACTACAGTAAACAAGAGATGGAGGAGTACCACTGAAGGAGAAATGATCCTAAGAGCCAGAAGAGCAGGCAGCAGTAAAGCAGCTGGCAGTGCTTGTTTCTAGCTGAGACCTCTCTCCTTTTAAGCAGCACATCATGGAGTGTTAGAAGCCAATATCCTTCTGATTTACTTTTCTCCAAGAGAAATATAATGGTCTATAAAGTTAAACAACTCTTACAGTGGCAATATTTTGCTATAGGATCTGGCAAGGCAGTTAGTACTAGCAGGTTGCCAGTCATCCTCACAGTTTCAAATGAGACTGCCAACAATAAGACATGGTGTCTCTTTGAATAAAGGAGCTTTGAAATAAATGTAGACACCAATCTTTCTTGTGCACACCTCCCCCAGCAGCCAGGTGCTTTCCTTCTCTAAATCAAAGAAATACAGTGCTAGCAAAACAAAGCATCTGAAGTATCACAGAATGAGGAATTTACCTCTCCTTGTCAGATGACAAGAAGGATCTGGTAGTGCTTGTTGACAGCCAGCAGAACATAAGCCAGAAGTGCGGCGAGGTGGCCAAGAAGGCCAATGGCATCCTGGCTTGTACCAGAAATAGCACAGCCTGCAGGAGCAAGGAACTGATCATCCCTCTGTACTCAACATTGGTGAGGCCACACTTTGAGTATTGTGTTCAGTTTTGAGTCCCTCACTACAAGAAAGACATTGAGGCTCTGGAGTGCGTTCAGAGAAGGGCAATGAACTTTTGGGGGTCTGGAGTACAAGTCTGAGGTTGTGGCGAGGTGGGGGTCAGCCTCTTCTCCCACATAACAGCTAAATGATGAGAGGGAATGGCCTTAAGTTGCACCAGGGAAGGTTCAGGTCGGATATCAGGAAAAATGTCTTCTTTATAAAAGTGGCGAGGCATTGGAACAGGCTGCCCAGAGAGGTGGTGGAGTCACTGTCCCTGGAGGTGATCAAGGTGATCACATGTAGATGTGGCACTGAGGGATGCGGTTAGTGGCATGGTGGGGATGGGCTGACAGTTGGACTAGATGACCTTAGAGGTCTCTTAATGATTCTATGGTTTTTGCCTTAAAGACTGAAGTGAAAAGACCATGTGAAGATATAACCTTATATCTTTGTGTTTCTCCCTTTGCTAAAGAATGCAGAAGATGACTTTCAACACAGTTACAGGTCAGACTGTAGCCACACCAATCTGTGGATGAGGTCAGTATGACAGAACTAAATCCCTGCCTAAGAGGTGACAGACTAGCCCTCACCCTACAAAGCTACACCACTGCCATCATACCAAGTGCTGCAAGAGCTGGGTTCCTGCTGGTTCTCCTCTCTTCAGGCTGTGGTAGCTTGTAGCACCTTCCATGCGATGGCCCAGGCTAACCACTGCAGCAGCAATTTGCACCCCACTCAGCTCCTTCAGTCCAAGCAACAACTGTGGAGGTGGGGGAGATGTGGGTTTGAACCTCTTGGGCACAGGGAGCAGGATCCCAGGCTCTGATCACCAGAACTACCATCCCTCCAGCCACCTACGGAAAGGCCGTGTTTAAAAAAAAACAACACAAAACAACACCTAAAAAACTGATCCTATCAGTGTGTTTACAGCACACTTCCTAGGTGTCCCAGTTTCTTATCTCCTCAGAGCTTTGATGCTCAACCACAGCAGCTCCAGATAAAGCAATTAAGAACTTCCTGCTCAAGAAGGAAGATGCACTACACCTCAGACACTTTCGGAGCTGGGCAGACACTGTTATGCAGCTTGGAAGACTTTGTTTGAGATAGTGTGTTTGAGAAACTGGAATGCAAGGACTCAGTGAAACTCAGTGAAGATGTCTTAAAGCATTCTTGCAGTGTTCTCCAAGTCCTTCACTTCTACTTTGGAAAGCATGTTTGCTTCACAGGTTATATTAGCAGATGGATACTGCTTAAGCTTGAACAAAACGAAACTTCAATATAAACATGTGAAGTGCTAACTTCAAATAAAAACAACATATTGCTTTACTACAGCTCAGTCTGCAGAAGCACGTAGATTACTTATGCTGTTATCTAGATCTTTGGTCTATAAAAAATAAAATCATAGCAGTTTACGTCTTTAGTGGCTTATGAGTGTACAAAAATGAAGTCACAAAGCCAGCCAACAGTGACTTTGCATTTGGGAGGTGCCCTCTGCTTAAAAATAATACTTTTTTAAAACTAGACAGCCAAAAATAAATATTCATTTACAGCTACAATATACGTAAACCGATCTTGCTTTACATGCAGAAATGCTGGGCATCTCTGTACGAAACGCCTCGTACCCATGGGACAAAAATGCCCTACTGCTTGCATGTAAGTGCTGAAACTGAAACCTTGTGGAAAATGATCTGGGATAGAGGCAGGGCAACCCAAGAAAGTGCTGCTGTATGGATGTGGCTGGAGGATCAGAGCTTATTAGAAGATTATCCTCTGTGCATAGGATGAAAAAGAAGATTTGACATGCACTCTTATATAGTGATGATTAACCTGAGCCTGCAATTAGCATGCATGACATTATGAAATGACAGACTATTTGCATCATAAATCCCAGATCCCAGAGAGAAAAGAGTTGCTATACACCTATTTTAATTTGCCAATACCTGTGACATTCTATCTAATACACTTTATTTTTAGAATTGAGTATATGCTGTGGAAACTTCTTGTTGCTGGGTCAAGTCAGCTTTGGAGGCTGGCAGCCAATCCAGCTGCTTAGATTGAAAGAATTCTGAATATTAAAAACCAGCAATCACAGTTTTAAACATACACCATTACAGCAGAATTATCCACCTACTCATGGATTGACTTGAAATAACTCCAAAAATGAACAGACGAGTACTTTTACTGGGAATTCTAAAGTAAAGCTTTAACTACTAGCTGCCTGCATGTTATTTCATATGCAGATCACAGCAGAACGGGCCAGAAACTGCCCAACTCGTGTCCCTGGTGGCTCCTCTGCTCCATGAGCATCCAGCCCGAGATCATCCAAATGCATCCAAATGCATCCAAATGCAGGTGGGCAATAACGAAAAGCACCAATTCCTATCTGCTGCTGACCACTGAAGTAAGAACAAATCCAGCACTTTACAAGCTCTGCACTAATCTGGTTATGCTGTATGTACCAGTCCTGACAGTTCTCATTCTCTTCAGTCACAGAATGATTTGAGTTGGAAGGGACCTCAAAGCACACCCATCCCAACCCCTGCTGTGGGCAGGGCGGCCACCCACCAGCTCAGTGCGCAGGGCCCCATCCAGCCTGGCCCTGAGAGCCTCCAGGGATGGGGCAGAACAGCTTCACTGGGCAGCTGTGCCAGCGCCTCACTTCTTAAGGAATGTTTAATGCTCTTTTACGATAGTAGTACTGATTTTAACAGATAAATCTGAAAGACACTTAAACAGAAGGGCTGTCAGCACCTACTTTGAGTGCCCAATCCACACTGAAACGCTATTTCAGCACTCAGAGCGCACACTGAAGAGGCTGCAGCGCTCAGCGGAGCGGAACACGCAGCCAGGTATCTCGGTTTGGCAGCCTCTGCCCCCTCCCCAAATCCTCCCTCACCTCCATTCCGCAATCGCTCCCGCGGAGTTACAGCAGTGGAGCTGCAGGCCACGATGTCAACCGTGGCCGGGACCAGCGTACACGGGGCTCCCTGCCGAGCCCGGCCAGCGCGGGAGGCGCAACGCGGAGCACGGCGCAGAACGTGCAGGAACACCGCCCGCTGAGGGCACTGCCGTTGGGGCAGCGCGCTGCCTCCCGCTCGCCAGTATCAGCTCCGCGCTTCGGGGCTCGGCTCGCTTCCTCCCCGCTGACCTCGCAAGCGCCGCGCAGGCAGGAGCGCAGATCTTGCGTATCCCCGGGCTGCACCAAACGCCCGCGCCGAAGGAAGGACGAGCGGCGGACCTCCCCGCGCCGCCGGCCGTGCTCCCCGCCCAGCCCGTACCTACCTCCGCCCGCTCGGCTCGCTCTTTCCCGCCTCGACGCGCCGCCGGCGGAGCGGCCCCACGGCCACGCGCGGCCGCCCCCGTTTGGGGCGGGCGGTGCCGCTGCCGCCCCGCCACGCCGCGGGGTCAGATCGGGACGCGCGGCTCAGCGGCCCCTGGCGGCCGCGGCCTGAGGGAGCGGCGGGGCGGCCCTCTCCGCAGGCGCCGCCCGGAAGCGCCGCGGTCTCAGGAGGCGTCGGCAGGTGGACGGTGCCCTTCGGTGGTCTTTGACAGCCCTTGCGACGCAAACCGTTGTGCGGTTCTGTTATACCGAGCCCGAATGGCCCGGCCTGCCGCTCTCAGCAGGAAGCGTTTGAAGTATCTCCTCCACAGCCTCCTGGCGACGTTTTGCTTTTTTATTTCCTTCGGTAGTCGCTCTCCGTGCTCATTTCTCACGGCAGGATGTGGTAAGCTTAGGGCTACCTGTTTGCCTGAAGCAACGCCGGTTGCTTCTACTCAGGGTGCCGTTGGTGTGCTTCCTGCCGCGCTTTCCGCCCCGCACATTTCCACAGGATGCCCCCCAGAATGTCCCGCCCTGCCCAGGCAGCTGCAGGTAGCTGTGCTGAGATGTGGCAGTGGGCTCCAGGCGTTCGCTGCGAGGGGGCAGGAAGAAAGCAGGCTGTAGTTTGTGAAAACTGGGCAGAGAGCCGTCTGATGCTCTGCTGTGGTTAATCTGATGTTACCGCTACGTAGGTCACTCCAAAAGTGATGCCTTCTATGTATTTCCATCGAGATGACAATAGATACAGAATCACAGAGTTGCAGGGGTTGGAAGGGACCTCAGGAGATCATTGAGTCCAACCCCCCTGCTAAACTGGGTACCCTACAATGGGTCATACAGGTAAGCATCCAGAGGGGATACAAAGAGCACTATAACACTATTTGATAGAGCAAATTCTCAACTATAATGAAGGAGAGCCTGCATGTGGTGCTCATAAAAATCAACACCAGCGAGCTGACACACTGTCACCGTCACCACTGCTGAAATACCACCCCCTGCCGCACTGTGCTCACATCCACTCTTCGGACTCCATAAACGTTCAGCAAGCATGTCAATGGGTGCCATTTTTTCTGCATGGAAGAATTCAGTCTGACCTTTTGCTTCATATGCACTTCCATGTCAGATATTGTTTTGTCACGCTGCCCTTCTGTTGCCATCTGTGACATGGCAACAACATGTAATGGAGTATCTGTGGAAAAGTTCAACCTTGCTGCCATACCACCAGCATCTGCCTCTGATTTTGTTGGCCAACATAAAATAGCACTCGCTGCTTTTAGAGCAACCCTCATATCTTACAATAACCATCACCTTACAGTATATTCTGGAAAGTCTCTTCCTTCCCCTCTACCAGGTGAGCAAAGGAATAAGGCAAAAATATGCAGCCAAACAACATACATGTGATGAAACAGCAGAACCAAGGTTCCAAGCTGGTATGATTTCATGCAAGCTTCCTTTTGCTCTCTTAGTTTAAGAATTTTTCTGACATGTTTTTTAGGAATGCTGCTTTAGCCCATCATCCTGCCTAGTCCTGTGATACAGCTATAATTTACTTCTGATCTTTGTTCTTTAGCCTACCACCACTTGCTGGAATCATAACCTCAAGCTGATTCAACAATTCCTGTTGGGTTGAACATTTCTCTTTCTGACTGATAGCTTCTTTAAAACTGTGTGATAATCCAAAGTATCACAAACATGAAAAGCTGCCAGATTATTTAGTTCCTTTTTCATAGAAAGCTGAAGTACATATAATCTTGGTTGTAACCTTCTGCTTCTGGTAAGTCTTGTATATATGCAGTAGCACCTTCACGTGAGCGTCCTTTGGGTGTCCTTGATCCATCTTCCACACGTTTGCAGTATGGACCCAGCTTCCACTTCTAACTGTTTATAGTGCAGCTGTACACAAAACTTTTTTCAGTATTTTTTCAAAGAGGCAAATCCTTGGTCTGCCTAGGAAGAAGTTCCCAGCACAGACCACTGCCTGCAGCTGTGGCCTTGGCCATGCCATGGCACTGCTCTGGATATGTATGAATTCATTCTCATTTCTGAGCTGCAGTTCTCTGCATTGCTTCCCTGCACAGCCCCAGCACGAGGCCCAGCTGCCAGTGAGAAAGTTAGCTGCTTCCCCTCACTATGAGCGATTTTCATGTAAAGCAAAATCCTCTTAAAAATAAAAGAACAAATACAACAATTACTTGCCTTTAGAGTCAATGTTTTTCTCATTGTAATTGAGCTGTAAGAACTGTGTGTTTTCCTTTTGCTCTGGTATTCCCCTGTGAGGACATAAGTACACACTCAAGGTTCCTAATTCCACTCCATCTGTAATAGGAAGCACTGAGACTCAAAAACCTTTAAAGGGTGAGGCTCAGTCCTTGCTGCTGCCGCAGCTGTTCTGTCCTCTGTTTGCTCTGTCATTTGTTTTCTTGCACAAATCCTTGCAGATGGGTTGCTTTGTTTAACTACACACAGGTCAATGTCTGAACAGCTCACCTAGAAGCACAGCCAGACTGAAAGAGAAAACAAGGAAAAGTCAGGTGATGATGACATGCTGCTTTAATGCAGAACAACATCAGCAGTCTGGTACACAGACTGAGGACCGACCCTTTGTATTTGTAGAGATGATGTGTTCTCCACCTATCTATGAGGTACCAAACCACCAAGATGGGGAAAATATCCCTTGTGAGGTCACCATCGCTTCTGCCTGCTTTCTGTCCCTGATTTCATTCTTTGTCACCTCATCTATTTGCATATCACCACCTTTCTTCCCTCTGCTCCTCTTTCCCCATAGCAACTCTGCCTCCATACATCCTACTTCACTCCTACACCAAGAAGCTGTGCAGCAGTGCAGGCTGAACTTTAGAAGAAAACACTGCAAAGACAAAGGAGTTGTTAGCTGGTGTAGACTTGCAGTGAACTTTCTAGCAAAAGCTGGGAGAAGAACAGACAGAAACCAGGGACAAATGGAATAAAAGAAAATAAGGTTTTACATTAGGGAGCAGAAAGCAAGTTACAAGAGGTGAACTTCCTCCGCCAAGGACTGTCTGTTCAGTAGACCAGATGATACACACTGGGGCTGGTTCGACCCCCCTTAACCACACACAAGCAAGATTATGCTGAGTACATCAAGGAATTAAATCAGCAATTACATTTCATAAGAAAAGCTCACTGTGACATGGCATTTGCTTGCACTAAAGCTCGGCTCGGTTCACAATGAGGTTCCTGTCTCAGGCTCACAAATTCCCTTTTTTTTTTTTTTTTTTTTCAGAGCTGTGCACCTGAAGGAATGGTAAAATTTGTCTTCAGGCAGCTAGCTAATTATTAATATTTCTTATGACGTTGGCATTTTACAAAGTAAAGATACTGAACTCGCTTTCCTTAGGAAAGGTAAACATGGGCATTTTAATGTGCATATTGCATAAAATGGAGCATTTAGATGCTCTATTGAACTCCCAGAACCTTGTTGACGGATCTCACCTTGGGATCCTTGTCTAACTCCACTGTGTTTTCAAGAGAAAATCCTTTCCAAAGACCACCATCAGACTCTCATGCCAACACCCAAAGCAGCACATGTAGAGAAGAGCAGATGTTGCCTTTCTCATAGCCACTGCTCTAATCTGGTTAAATTTTGCAGAATTTGAATCTCCCACAGAGGGATATTGAGGTGGGCTTCTCAGTCTCCCAAGTGTAGAAACAGATATATTTCCAAGTCTTGGTGGTTGTTAAAAAATTGAGTTAATTTACCAAAGTTGCAACTTAAGAAATCATCTCACTTAGGAAACAAATTTATTAAATAAAGCAGAGCTTTTGCTGTTGTTCTTCTCCCTGTTCATTTTCTGCGGTTGTCGTTTTGGGGAACAAGAAAGTCCCTGTGTCAGATGTTTCCCATGACTTACCAGGAAGTACCAAGGATGAGGCAATAGTCTTTCCAGAAATACATCTCAAAACACATCACAAGTTATTGGAGGTGATGTTCTTAAGATTGGAATTAGTGTATAAAAGTCTTTAAAAGTAGAGAATAAGAGTTTTGAGTTGGCAAGTGTAGAAGACTATATGGAATCAAAGTGGAGGTAATTAATAGATTTTATATGCAAAAAATCTTCTTGGTGTGTGCATAAAGCAGAAGAACTGTTGCTTAATACTCATTCTTCATCAACACAGACAGTCTTGTTCAGCCCCAGCAGGAAGAACAGAGTGGGTACCCAGAGTCCTGACTGTGTTATGCATGGATGTGTCCTGGACAAAGCGTATTTCGAACACCAGCAGCTGCCCAGATCTGAGGTAGTGGCTTTGCTGGTGGGAACCACTGGGAGTTTAGGAGAAATCTTTCTGCACACATGCTGGGAGACAGCTGCTATTGGATGTGCTTGGAGTCTTACAAAGTGACCGAGGCACAATATTAAGGGTAGGGATTAAGTCAACTTAAAAGTAATGTTAAGCCAATGTTAAAAATACCATTCAGTACTTCAGATTATTATCAGAGAGTATCTTTCTAAAGGGTTATTTGGGGAAACTGTCCATGGGCTCTCTTATGTCAAGACTTGAAAGGCAGGGTTTGGGGCACACTTACATATCCTCCCTCTATTTGCTTCTCCATCTTACTTGGACAGCTGCAGTAAAAACGCCTGCAAAAAGGAGAGGGGATGGCAGGGGTTCACAACAAGCTGCTTTGGCTGTGTTCCTGTACCAGAGTGCCCACTTGCATCTCCTTCATTCACTCCTACCCCATTGCTTCTCTGTGTGTGAGACTGAGACTTGATACTTTCCATCATGCTTTTCCTTCATGGATATTAATGCACCAGAGAGCCAGGGAAGAGCTTTAAGGGCTGAATGTGGAATAACACTCTTGGGATGGGTAGCTGGCTTCAATCCAAATATTCTTTGATCTGCAAGTTGTTACAAAACCAGCTGAAACTCTCAGCTCTGCTGACCCACATACAAGATATGCTCTCAGCTGCTTTTTCTCAGATTCTCAATTTTTTCAACCAGTTCCTGCTAGTTCACATGCTTCTTGAAATGAGGCACCAACG